AGCCACTTGAAGAAAGGGTGGGACCTGTTTTGAAAGCAGCCGACACCCCCGGGTCAGGTTCCTTCACAGCCTCGGCCAAAGTCCCCACGTGCTTGCAGCTCACAGTACAGCCCACAGGCAGAACTCTGAGAGAAACTCTGCTGCACTGAGCTTGCTCACTATTATATTTACTATTATATTAATTATTATTTTAAATGTAATAAATGCTAGTCTCACTTCTGTAAGACTTCTACTTAGAAAAAATAGAAGGCAAGGAAAGCTGTGTTATGCCTGCTTAGGGACTGAGGCCATGCAGGCATAAGGCCAATTGCAGTACTAGATGTTTTGAATTTGGACCTACCTCGCAGTTCAAAGCTACCAAGGACAGAAGTGAGGGTTATACTCTGGTGGTTTTAACCCACAAAATGGAGACTGAGACTTTGTTTTGTGCAACAAAAATACAGAGCAAGGATTGGGAAAAAAATCCTTACCGTCTAGGAAATAAAATCCTGGTTTACAACAAGCATCCTATGTCTACTTGAGCTCTACTTTTGTGAGGTGATAGTCTATAAAATAGGGCTAATGTGGCTAATGTCTCTACATTGCATCCCAGGTGGTTATGAAGATAAACTTATATAATACATAAAATAGGTACTTCAATAATATCATCAGTCCAGAATTTCCAAAAAGCTATGCTAAGATAAAGACAATTTAGCTCAAGTGGCAGTGAAACTTCCACCACAATAACTGTTTTCAAAGTCTTATCTAAGTTCGGCACTACTAAGATACAGAGCCTCTAAAGTCATACTACTAAAGCAATATAACCCAGGCAGAAAGCTTCAGTCCCAAATTAAATTGAGCCCATTCTGTTTTTAAGAGGGTCCAGACTAAAAAAAAATAAAAAATGGTGAAGTAAAAAGGACTTGTGACATCTTCGAGTGCCAGCAGATGTGTCCCTCAAAGGGGGCTTTGTCACACAAACAGGTTTGATGAATCTCATATTGCTTCTAAGGAGTTCAAGCACACCACTGGTGTTAGCATGTCCTGTCCTTCACTACGTGCTGTATAGGACTCTCTGTGCCGTGTTCACACAAAGGCTAGACTCCTGCCAGGTCTGGCAGTGCAGTCTGATGCTTTGGTTGAAGAGACTGACATCAATTCTCCAATGATGGAGAGGTCCACCTCACTCCCCCCCGTACCTGCAGAGGCGATGTGGCGTGGAGAGGTCTTCCTGATTTTCTTGGAGTTATCACAAATCCACTGCTCACAGCACTTCCCTGCCATCTTAATCAGCTTTGGATTTGGGCACCAGACAAGGGGAGGGCGTGAGTTTGTGCACATGGGAATACAGCCCACAGCCCCATTAATGCACGTGCAGTTGTATTTGCAGTTGGGCTGAAATGTGTCCCCATTGTTGTACCTGACTCCATTGAGGACACATCCTACACCGACAATCTCTGAAAGGAAAGAAAAAGAGAGAAAGACACACAAAGCACCATTAAAATAATGCTGGCAACAAACAGCGCTGATGTGTTTTTTTACCAAGCTGCTCCCTGGGATAATGGAGTCTAAGCGGAGACACGGCTGTGCTGCGGGGTGATGTATTTGATGTGATGCTGAGCCAAATGTGGTCACGCCATCTAGGAAACTGTTTTCATTCTGAATCACAGCAAAAAAAATAAAAAATTACTCTTTTAATGCTTCATGGGAAAAATAAGTTAGAAAATAAAACAAGTTCTATCTACAAACGCTCACTTAAAAAAATAATTTAATGGCATGCTGACAAAAGTCATTTACAGTAGGAGCAATCAAAGTAATTAAAACAGATATTGAGTGAAAATTGAGGTTTTCAGGGACATATGAGAGGACTAAATGGAGTTGCAAATATGATACACCTGTACCCATCTGAAGCAGGAGTACAGCCAAGATAGTAAAGGGTCACCTAAAATGGCACTGGATTCCTCTATTTAGGCAACCAGATTCCACTCAGTTTATCACAGAATCATAGAATGGTTATCAGAGAACAGTTGTCTTGGAAAATGAAGTCACACATTATAAAGTCATGAAAAATAGTATTTGATGTATATTTTAAAATAAAATCACAAAAAAAAGCAAGCTTTTTGATTGCCCATGAACAGGAATCACATTGATTCAGGAAATAAGACATGAGCTGTACAAAACAGCAATTTTTTTTTTTTTGTTTCAAAGTTACGGACAGTTATTTGGAACTAGTGGCAGAAATCTTCTAATGGAAAATTCAAACTTCAGTTTCTTGTTTGGTCACAGGGAGGCAGTGTGCATGCACCAATCAGGTTCCCTAAGCTTTAAATCTGTTTGGAAATGGAGCTGCAGTGCAGCTTCTTCAGTGCCAACACAAATTGAAGTGCTGGATTAAAATTCTGTGGAGGTTTCCTATTTTTAGAATGGGCTGAGTGAAAACATCAAAAGCAAATCCCTTCTGTACAATGATGAGACTTGGAATTTGAAGCACAGATCCAGATCTCCAGGTTGTGGTCAGCTCTGATTTTGATAATGCTTCAGCCTTTGTATTGAAGAGACATCACCCAGTGCTGGAGCCAGAGCTGAGATTCAGTTAAGCTTCTAAGTGTGCACACAGATTATGGCAGTTTAAGAAAAAGCTTTATCTGCATCCAAGGCAGGCGATTCAGGAGCACTTCGCAGTTCCTTGCCCCACGTGCACAGTGCCTGCCTCCCTACCTGGACATGTGCTCAGCACCCTTCTGTCCCTGCTTCAGTGAGGAGAAAAGTCAACAACAAAAGGGGAGCTGTAGTGACTCCCAGCAAGCTCCTGTCTGATGTCTGGGTGACAGATCCTGGGACACACTTCAGCATGCCAGTCCAGATACATCCTGAATTTCCCATAGTTTCACCCCCTTCCCTTTCCCAAACCAGTTCCTAGCTCTTTCCAGACCTTCATTTTCCACAAATTCTATTGTTTCTGTAGTCCTGCATGCCCTGGATTCTCTTAGACACATCTTTTGGCATCCAGCTGCAAAGCAAATTCCTCACAGCAGTTAGTCCCCAACAGCCAGCACAGGAGTCTCACTCTTGCCTTCACCCACCCTGAAGTCAGGACAATATCTGGTGTACTCAGAGCGAGGGGATGCAGCCTGTATATGACCCAGAGAAAAGAAAGAACCTGTCAGCAGATCCCGACATGCGCATCTACCTGGATGCTGCAAGCAAGGGGATGACCACAGCTTTCTGTGGCAGTCAGAAACAAACCACTTCACTTCCTAACCATGGGAAGACCTACTTCTCACGTCCTTCAACTGTGCATGCCGCAATGCCCCTCAACACATAGCCATAAATGTCAGATAATGGGGGGTGTAATGTTATGGCAGTAGGCATGTGAAAGTGCATTGGATTGGAAATCCTTCCAGACCTCACTGGGGAAGCTGGGGATCAATCTTTCTACATCACAGTGCTGTTGCCACAGGCGTACTGAATGCCTGTGATGCATGAGTGGACTGAAAAAAAAAAAAATTCTGCTAAGAAAGCAAGCAAATAAATAAACATGAAGCAACACAGCCTTTAAAGAGGCCTAGGAAGGCTGAGGTAGCTTTGAGACAACATCTATAATGTTTTCTTGTCCCAATGCAAGGCCAACTGTAACAATGTCATTCTTGGCAGATGTTTGTCTCGCCTGTTCTTACAGACCTCCCATGAATGCTACACACACACTCCAGACAATACATTTGAATGATCTCATATCCTCTTTTCTTAACCTTTGATTTTTTTCTAATCTTAAAAATTACTGTCTAAGCTTACAGCTCCTTGCACATACATTCACTTGTTATTTTGCCCATACCCTACAAAAATCTGATGAGACTGCACTTTCTGCATGCGTATTTTTGTGGCTGAGCTAATGCAAAGCCAAGGTCATTTCTTACTACACTTCCCATCCTTCTTCTGCTGAGGAACAGCAACCCCTGGCTTCATTTCTGTGAGAAACTTCCAGCTATCCCGAACCTCTGATTTTCTAAGTTTATTGAAGTTCACTGCAATCTTTTCTCTTTCTTGTGAATCAGTTATTCTACCTATTCGTCTCACAATCAGCTCTCCTCCAGGTTTCCTTCCTTACATTTTCTATTGGTACCTCACTCATGCTTTTATTCCACCCTAGAAGACCCTTCCTCTAAATGGCTTTTTCCTGTTTGTGAACCTAAAGCCATAATCAATATATTTTAATTAGCTAACTGTGTGGTTGTATTCATGAATCTTTCCCTTTCAATCATTTCCAGAGTAATGTTTTTTTAATCATTTATTACATTTATGAGCGGATCAGATTTCCTCCATGTTCTGGATCTCAGAACAAGTGAATATATCCTTGACAGGCAAAACACTACCTCATTTCTTTTTTCTCTCCTTGAATAAAAACATCCCAGTCACACAAATGATCCCACCAAGAGTTTGTTATGACAAGCAGGAAGAAATCCTTCTGCTTCAGGGCAGCTAATGTGACTGAAACTGTTGTAAGATTAAGGCTCAGACCTCAATTTGTCACCATGAAACTTTCCTAGAATATGATTCATCCCTGACCCTCTGACAGGATACCACGTGCTGTCCTTCCTAGGGATCCACTACTGGGAATAAGCCAAAAGCGTCTCCTTAATGTCATGATTTTCAGGTAGACATCCATATTGCTTGTCTTTAAAGCCAGCTGCATACCTATCCTTCCTTCATCCCCAACCCATCACAGCACCTCCTCCTGTTATGGGGAATACAGAATCATCTACTTGCAAATCTGAGGACCTTCAAATGCTGGTTGCTCCTTGCTCTTGGCTGCAGACAACTCAAAGAGCAAGAATTCAGGTGTCATTTCACATCCAGCCAACTGCCCTGAGAATGAAGACAGCTATAAGGAAATGGAAGATGATGAATGGAAGAGTTGATGAGCATACAGTCAGGTATCTAATGAGATAAATCTCAGCAGTTTCTCAGACCAAGGGGAGCTGCCAGTGTATATCTAAGTCAAAAATATATGTACATCACTTACGTGCACATACTCCTATTTCGTACCTAGGTCTGTCTCCACTGTAGTCACAGTACAAGCCCCTGTGGAAGTCACACGTGTCGGCCTCGGTGCAACTTTCTCCGCGCTGCTTGGCACACATCTTGCAGCAGTCGCAGCCATCTGTGACCAGGCTGACGCCTACCGAGCACCGAGGTGGGGACTTTGGACACTCGCACGGCCACTTGCAGTACTGAGTCCGTGTGTAGGTCTCTGTCGTGGCAGGGACGGTGAGGGTCATGGTGGTGGATGTCTGGGCAGTGGCCTACAAACAAAGAAAAACAGCTTGGAGCGCGTTCCAGAGAAAAGGGAGCTGAGAACCCTGTGGTGATTAGTCCTCAGTAAAAATCGCCTCAGGTATAAAGAGACTATAGTGAAACCAAATTGTAAATTCAATGAGCTACAGAAAGGGAGCAGTCGCTGCTCTCTTGTAAACCCTTTCAGATACCAGCCAAGGACAAATGGTCTGCAGCTTGGACTAGCACCCAAGCCACATAGCCCCAGCCTGCTGGTACTCGGCTGTTTCCAGACCTCTTTTCTCTAAGCAGACATCTCTCCCCATGCAGGAACACAGGCGCCCATGTCAAGACCCGTCTCACGCATGAGAAGAAGGTGTGACTTGTCTCCAGTCTGTGTCACCCTGTGGTGCTTGGCTCTGGCAGAAGATTTGCCACCCCATAGCTCTTGTGCCTGTTCATTGACAGATGGCTGTAAGGACTCTTGGCTACTCAAAGGCTTCTTCAGGGAGCACCTGCTGCCCTTCAGGCCACTGAGCAAGGTAAAGGTCATCATGTTGCAGTGTGAAAGCACATGACTTGTGGCCCTGTTGAGCCTCATCTTCCTCAGGTTTATCCACATTTGTGTGGAGTCTTGCAACCGAAACACGGTATCCCATAAATCTCTGAGGGGACTGGGAGCAGGCCTGTGAGTCCACCACCCTCACGGTCAGTCATGAACATCCATGTTATGGGGATGATCTGAAACACACAAGCCTAGTACTCCATCACAGACGTCCTGAGGATGTCTTGGCCTTTCCATCTCTTCTTTCAGTACCACTAATACCAGAGCAACTGCTGCCTTACAATGGCCCAGGCCTTTGACTTGAGTAGAGATGAGGTTAGAGACAGGAAAAGATGACCTCTGAAACTAAAATCTGCCTAACTGTCTGTGAATGTCTTGATGCACAAGTTCACCCACCTCTGTCTGAAAGTTTTCTTTTATCCACCCCTATAGCACAACCCACATGGAGTTCAGCTCTCTGACAGAGTTCCAGTCCTAAGGAATGAAGTTACACTATGGCCATAACTTTAAAAAACCTACAAATTTTTTAAAAATTAAAACAAAGAAGTCATGCATTTCCTCTAAGCACCCTGACAAACACCCTTATCCATCTTTTGCAGTGTCCAGACTACCATATTCAGCAGAAATGTTCTCTGTGAATCCTAAAGTAGTCATGAGGCTCTTAGGTCTGTCTGTGATGGGCTCTTCCAGCTCTCACACTGTAGTTCCCATGATGTTGCCCTGGTCCACACAATCAAACAATTGGGGTGTATCTGCAGTGATTTTCCACCTAAACCTTTTGGAACATGTTTTTGTCCTATGTGGAGTCACTGTGGGACCTATTAAGCTGGATGAGCATAAATGAAGCTTCATAATGTTACTATTTCTTGTATTAACCATGCACAAATGTTTGCCAGCATGGTGAGCAAGGAAGGAAAGCTTTTATGGCGAGGATACTGCCAAGTTTCCATTTCCTGATCTCCATTTCCTTGGCAAATAAGAAAAAACAAAACTGAAAATTCATTAAAAATCTAATAATCAGATTAAAAAATCTGATCAAGGTAAGTCAACGTAGAAAAGTGATTTAATGTGACACAGTGACGCTACTCCAGTAGACACATTCAGGTCACTGTTACTGAGACAATGGAGTGCTGGGGTCCCTTAGCTCGTAACAAAACCCACAGAGGGCAGAGGTTCATTGCTTCCTGTACTCTCCAGTCCCTGCAGAGAAAACTCTGGATGACATTTAGCAGCACCACCCATTCTTGTGGTGCAGGAAGGGTGCAAACTGGTCCAGTGAAAAAGCAGAGATGTGGCTTTTCTGCCAGGATCACTGCACAGAAAACTTGAGCTGCACATGGGAGCCAAGCAGGGCACAATAGCTCAGGCACAGAAACAAATGAGTTTATTTACAGGCTATCAACAGCAGCCAGAACATGACCCTGCTTGGGCACATGTTGTCCAAAAGCCCTTCCTGGTGACAAGATGTGAGGGCTGTAAAGAATAAATGTGTAATTCTACAAAGTTCAGACAAGGAAAATCAAGGTCTAGAAATTACTAAGGTGATCCCATCCAGTTCTGGCTATATTGTACTGTACTATACATTCCCCAGTGTTTTGTCCTCTTTGCAGTTTCAGATGTCTCAAACAAGAGGCTTTCCACCACCCCTCCATGGAGAAAATGGCCCAACACAAGGCTTTGTGGGGAAAAGCATCCCCAAGAATTGTGAACGCTCAGCCGGAGGTATCATGAGGATACCTCTGCAAAGCCCTTTTACTGTCTTCTACAGCTTCCTTGAGAGCAGATTCAAATGTTGTTAAAGTAAATTTCTAAACATGCTACTACTGTATCTGAAGCTGTATTTAAGTATCTTAGTAATTAGGTACCCTGTGGTCAGGACATGAAATTGTTAACACATTGCTAATCACTGCCAAATAGGCAATGTGTTTGCTCTGGGCATAATTCCCAATTCCATTAAGCCCCCCTTTACAAACAATTGGCCTTAAAGTTGGCTTAAAATCACATTTAAACTCATGTTTAAAATAAAACATACCAATATAATTTACTTCCACTTTAAGTCTCCTTGATGCTGCCAAAGTTGTTAAAAGAGGAACATTCAGATCAATGAAAAGCCCTGGCCTTTTAATGGTAGTATTTTTCATTCCACTCACAATAATTTGAGTAGGCGCAATAATCTGTCACTTGAGAAGAGAGGCCTCTTCAAGTGCAATAAACCTATTTACTTTGTTGCTGATAATTTTAAAAAGTGCTTAATAATCAAATCCAGATACACAGACAAGAGTCACACAGCTATTTAAAGAGTCCACTGCCATGGCCCAACCCTGTAAGTAAATCCCTTCACAGTCCCTTGTTTCTATTGTCAACATGAGCAAGCAAACAGCTTCTACCCTGCACAGATATGAAACTGTCTGTGAATCAACACACGTAGCAAAGAAGAACCAATAAGTCCTGCAAGTCCTATGGTTTTAGTAAAGGACTGAGTAGCTGTGAGCCTTTTGGTGGCTTGTGATAGACAGGAATTTAGAGTAAATTATTTAACAGCCCTTCTTCTAGATCTAAAGACTGAGCTGGGCAAGGAAGCTTTTCAAGTGTCCTTATAGGGACTAGCTGTTGTAGTTCTTAGATGTGCTGGCTGAAATATCCAGTGGTATGGTTAAGTAAACCATGGGAAGGCCACTTAGCGTGGGCTACATAAGCATCTTCCAATAATCAGTGTGGGTAGGCATCAAAATACTATGACTCCCATATTTTACAAATAGAGAAGACAAGGAGAGATGGAAGTGGCATCATGTCCCAGGCTCGTTGCCACCCAACCAAAACCCAGCCATTGGAAACTGTTGTCCACTGGGCACTAGAACAAGTGTGCAGCCTGTACAGAGCTGGGGGAACTTTAGCAGTTACTTACAGGAGCTATCACTGTAGCCCCTCCCCTGCTACCAAACAAAACCCACCACACAAAACCACAGCAACAGCTTCCAAGCCCTCCTCCTCTCCCCTCCTGAGTTCCTCAGAGCTTTGCTATGGGAAATACAATTCTGTACATTTATAAAATTCTCTGTTTTTTCTTTTCCATGGTCAGCAGTCATCACTGGTATATCTAAATCTCTTTGGAAAAGTCATTAAGTCCTACTACTCCAATGTCCCAGAACATTTTGGGGTATAGACACTTTCTTACTAGTAGGTATGATTTTTAAGACATCATGAGTAATAATGCTTTATAAATACCACAATAAAAATCTTTCCGTAGGTGCTACCAACAGGAAGTCAGACTCTAATGGCCTTCATCAGTGGCCATCCTTAACTAGAAACAAACAAACAAACAAAAAACCCCCAGGTAGGTTAAGGCTTCAGGAATCATGTCTTTAGGGTCAACATAATATATAGGAAAACAATGGTTTTGTAAATATTCAAAATGAGAATGGAGAGAAACTTAACACCAAAAGAACAGTGCTGGGGATTTGACAAGTTTATATTGAAATGTCAGAAAAACAAAAGTATGTGTCTTCTAGGAAATTAATTTTTCCAGGTACTGGTAATTAACTTCTTTTGTGTAATTACTTTTCAAACTTGGGATCTGCAGTTCTGTTATCTTGGATGCTAAAGAGGATAAATTCCACCGCAAGTTATTCATGAGCTCTAATTTTGCTGCTTTTGGAGGTACAAGTGCACTCTCATTAAATCAAGATGAAGCCTTTCTCACCTGCCATGGCTGATAACTCTTTATTAAAGTTGCTCCTGATTTATGCTTTACAAACTCCAAAATTACTTTCTTTTTGCATCTGCAGAGAATAATATTTCACTAGCAATGATTTCCAGCTAATTTCTGTGTTTGCATTCAAGAGGAGAGAAGGAAACAGTTACTCACTGTCTGCCATGGTCTCAAACTCCACGAGTTTTACTGTCCAAGTCTCAAAGATACGAAATGGATCGCATCATTTTAGCAGCATGTTCTACCTACTGGCAAAGTATATTTTCAATTTGTTGAAAAATATAGTGCTGAAACACAGTGCTGAAATGAGTGTATACAGTCCAAATGGCAAGTCAGCCAGATATATAGCAGCACTTTTACATAATGCATGAGGAAACCTCTAGCTTTGCTTTTAAGCAGCAAAGCCCTAGATACATTGCAATATATTCCTTTGCTTCCAGTTTTTACAGGTGTTTAAAAACATATTCATGTGTATTTATTTCACTGTTTCAGTGCTGCAAGATCTTATTCGTAAAACCTTTTTCTTTCAAGTGTTTTTCTCATCACAATGAGCTGGGTGAAGGCAGAATGAAGTTATCCATATTCTTCTCTTCCACTTTATTGATGGGAAAAATCCAGAAAGGACGGTACGTGTAAATTCAGCTCCTCTGGCTATTGGCAGCAGTGGGGGAACCAGTTATGAAAAGTTGGCAGACAGAGGTCTGCTCAAACTGTAGTACCTCATCACCTACTGCTGTTTTCTCCTTGGTGGTAATTCACCCT